GACATTTCTTGACATTTTATGCCTTACTATAGTTTTTTGACAGTTTTATGCCTTACTATACTATGACATTTTAATCCTTACTATACTATGACAATTTATGCCTTACTATATACCATGGTGTTTTTTGACATTTTTATGCCTTACTATACTATGACATCTTATGCCTTACTAAACTATGACGTTTTTTGACTGTTTCATGTTTTTCTATATTATGACATTTCTTGACATTTTATGCCTTACTATAGTTTTTTGACAGTTTTATGCCTTACTATACTATGACATTTTATACCTTACTATACCATGGTGCTTTTTGACGTTTTTATGCCTTACTATACTATGACGTTTTAATCCTTACTATACTATGACATTTTATACCTTACTATACCATGGTGCTTTTTGACGTTTTTATGCCTTACTATACTATGACATCTTATGCCTTACTAAACTATGACGTTTTTTGACTGTTTCATGTTTTTCTATATTATGACATTTCTTGACATTTTTATGCCTTACTATACCATGGTGTTTTTTTACGTTTTTATGCCTTACTATATACTATGACATTTTTATGCCTTACTATACTATGACGTTTTAATCCTTACTATACTATGACATTTTATACCTTACTATACCATGGTGTTTTTTGACGTTTTTATGCCTTACTATATACTATGACATTTTTATGCCTTATTATACTATGACATTTTATGCCTAACTATCCCATGACCTTTTCTGATGTTTTTATGCCTTACTATGTTGTGACTTTTTTTGACAGTTTTATGCCTTTTTATGTTATGCCGATTTTTGACATTTCTTTTGCCTTCCTATATTATGACATGTAATGCCTGACTATGCTATGACTTTTCTTTGACAACTTTATGCCTTACTATATTATGAAATGTTTTCCCTTTTTTACCCCTTACTATATTATGACATTTTTTTAACGTTTTTATGCCTTACTATACTATGACTTTTTTTTCACTTTTTTTGCTTTCCTATACTATGAAATTTATGCCTCACTATACTATGACCTTTTTTGACAGATTTATGTGTTTCTGTATTATCATATTTTTTAACTTTTTTTTTTTGCCTTACTCTACTATGCCATTTTATGCCTATTATGACATTTTATGATGCAGACTGCATGAACCCAGTCACCACCAACCAAGCACCATCTTCATCCTCAAAGAGGTGCTTTTTTTTCAGCTGAACAGAAAAACTCCATAGTCAGTCCGTTTAACATTTAGATGGAATTGAGCAACAACAGTCCCATCACATCTCATCAGGTTATTGATCCCTCAAAGAACAGACTCTGTCAGTGTCAAGCGTACACACTTTCTCTCAGGACAACTGAGGACGAACATATTGCAGAACACCTCGCTGTTCCGACAAGACAAGGGTCACCAATACAACTGTCCAGCTCCCTCTTACCTCCACACCCTCCCTTTCACTTAATACCCCGCTACATTTTCATGCCGAGCCAGTAAGTAGGGACCTCTTTGGGGAGACAAAGAGTGACCTCAATTCAATTTGACATCCCACCTATCGATCTGGGCTGCCGTATCCCCCAGAGATGGACGTCTAGCTTGCCCTTGTCCCGCTAACATTCACATTTAGCAACAAGAAAAAACATGTCTTTTTAATAAACAAAATCCCTCCACATATCTCGTCTCATTTACCCTCGACTAAATTACACACATGGCGACCTGCTTTCACAGGCCTTCATCCTCCCACGTAGGGCACTGTTCATCTTCGGTGGGCCCCTTTTGCTAAATTGAAAGTGTGTCATAACAAATAGAGGAGGTGTCTGGCTTAAATGTATGTGACTGGCACTGATGTCATATCTGTCAGAGGAACATCCCTTGTATTTTTAACAGGGGCACTGTGACATGGACCCTGGACAATTACTGTCAGAGCACACAGGGTGATGAATCTGCCGCCTTATTGTGTTTGTCATCTCGACCTCTGGCTGGGACCTGATTGGTACGGCCGCATACCTATAAATGAATCAGATGGCTGCATTGTTACTGTCCCGCGTGTGTAAATGTGAGCATCATAGCACTATGCTGCAACTTAATCGACTTTCATTTGGTTTTAAGTGAGGAACTCTTGTGTCATGGGGTGAAATATAGACTTCAAAATTAGCCATCAGTTAGATATAGACTATGATTCTCACATTTGCAAAATGACTGGGAGCATAAGTTTTGTGTACTGTCTTGTTGAGATCTTGTTGAGAATGGAGCACTTTTGATATAAAAATATCCAGATTAATTTAAATGCCTTTCACCCAGCTTTTTGGTCCCCACCAGGTTATAACTGTTGTATTTTTTGGTGCAAGAGGACGCTGATCATTATATTTTACAGTGGACAAGGCCATCTTGCTGTGGTTTCAGCTGACAATGCTTCAATAAATTGAAAGTGTAGAGGAACAAAGAGAGAAAAAGTGAATTAAAAAAACAAGAAATGAGAAACGTAAGAGTCATTGTGATTATTTACCTACTGTAGTTTGTTGTATTATTGATTTTTTTAATCTTCACATTGGTTTTTAGAATTTAAAAAGAAACAGAAATTGTTCCAACATGGCACAAAACCTGCAGTAAATGCTAACAATGCAGACCTACAATAACCACATATTTGTGATATGCAAAGTAATTTACACACAAAGAAATAAGATGTAATTGCTGCACCTGGTCCTGCAAGTTGTGGCATTTACTGGCTCTGATTTGTATCTTGAAGCAACGTATTTTGCTTTTATGGTTTATGCTGAGCCCAGTGTTTGCCATAAATGGCAGGTGTGCAAAATTGAAGTGCAAAAGTAATTCAGCTCCTGCCATTCAAAGGAGCTATGTCAGTTTGATTTACCTGAACACATAAAGATGGCCGCACACACACACACACACACACACACACACACACACACGCATATACACACACCTTTGGGCCACATGTGTTTTTTATATTCATATGGTGGAGGAAAAGAAAAAAAATGTGCACCTCCAAAATGGAGGTTGAGGGGTCATGGTGTTTGGCCAGGAGTGACAGCTCTGAAATGAAGGCATAAGTCAATCGGCTACTCTTCATACACACATACATACACACACACACACACACACAAACACACACATGGGTTGGAGCGGGAGGCGAGATGGCAGTGGGCGGTTAGGTTAGGTGGGAACTGAGGGATTGGGGGAGGTGGTAGGAGGAGGGGAGGTTGGGTGTAAAGGGCACAAGGTTACCATGTGGGAGGAGTGTGTGTTTTGTGTGTCCGTGTGTGTGTGTGTGTGTGTGTGTGCGTGTGCACGTGACTGGTGAGAGGGAGGGAACTTGACGTCATGTTCAAGAGCCTAAATGCACAAACCTGTCCTCGTCTTATTCTCTCTTTCTTTTGTTGTCTCTCTCCCTCCTTTAGTCTCTGTCTGACTGTTAACACAGATAGCTACCAGCAGCTATATTTACATTAACTTGAACACACACAGACACACACATGGACACACACACACACACACACACACACACACACACACGTACATACACTTTGTGACATACCTTAAACCCAAAGGTCAAAGACCATGTGTGTTCTTTCTCTCTCTCTGTCTTCCACACACACACAGGGTCATGGTGTTTGTTTACGTTCTGTCACGCCCTAAGTGGGCCTGTATCAACATTTGGGCTGCATCCCAGCATGAGGGTCGGGAAAATCCCCACTTGGTTTAAAATCATTGATTCATCCCCCGTATTGATTGGCCCATTTGCCTCTCTCCCTCATTGAATCAAAGTGCTCCTGGGAAAAACAAATATCTGCACGTGAGCAGCAGAATTATTTATCCTTAATGATCTGAGTTTAGATGGTGTCTGTAGTTGAAATTTAAAAATACTGCTACTCTGCATAGATTAGCAGATACAGATAGCAGTTGCACATTGATGCTGCAAATCTCCTGTTCCACCACATCCCAAAAGTATTTTACTGGATTCAGATCTGGTGACTGTCGCCACTGATGTTCACTGAACTGAGTTTGAGACGACTTTTGCTTTGTGATATGTTGCATCATCAAGCTGCAAGTAAACATTAGAAGATGGTAAATTGTGGCCATAAAGGGAGACACATGATCAACAACAATACTCAGATAGGCTATGACATTTAAACCATGATTGATTAGTATTAAAGGACCATAACATTCCCAACACCATTACACCACCATCACTAACCTGGACTGTTGACACAAGGCAGGTTTGTTGACTGGCTTCATGCTGTTGATGCCAGATTCTGACTCTACCATCTGCAGACTCAGAAGAAATCCAGATTCATCAGTCCAGGCTACGTTTTTTCAGTCTCCAACTGTCTGGTTTTGGTGAGCCTGTGCCCACTGCAGCCTCAGATTTCTGTTCTTGGCTGGCAGCCTGATAGCTCTTTTTGTCAGCTCCAACTGGTCTGGCCATTCCCCTTTGAGCGCTCTCATCAGCAAGGTGTCTCCATCCATGGTTTTTGTTTTTGGCTCAATCCTAGAGAAAGTTGTGTGTGAAAATCGCAGGAGATCAGCAGTTTGAGAAATACCCAAACCAGCCTGTCTGTCACCAACAATCACAGTTGTGTTTGCTGTGAACATTAACTGCAGTTCCTGACCTCTGTCTATTTACATAACACGTCTACAATTTAAGCATATATAGATTCATATGCAGATTTGTATGGGCTAGACACATATGTCAATGTATGAAATTCCAGTTCCAATTTCTAATGGGTTATATATATTCTTTTTTACATACAGTATGTTTTTATTTGATATGTACATATATTTATATATGGAAATTTTATGTATGTACATATATTACATTTACATAGTTTTGCAACAACTGCGTGAATGATAAAAAAATAATAAGAATAGTTAGTGCTAGATCATGGTTATGAAAACTGAAGCACTTAATCACAATTACAGGAACATATCTACTGTATGCACCGACTTGAGTTCTAAATTTACAGCAGGAAAACACATCAGAAAACTTACTGTGAACAACAGAATTTTATTTCAGTTAATGGATAATCCATATTTTCAAACAAAAGTAGAGGGGCTAAAAACAAACTCATATTCTGTGAATTCATTTATCAACAGACAGCTTCCTAAGGTCCCAGATGACTTGACATTGATAGCACAGTGCCATGTTGGAAATGTGAGACAGGTTGTCAAAACAAACTCGCTTGCACCAACGGGAAGAAAAAAAAAAAACAACTTCAAATAGTCCTAAGCTAGGTCACAGTCATAAGTCCAACTGGGATAATATTGTAACATAGACTGAGGTTTTCAGAGGTTAGTGATACATTTCTCTACAGTATCGGTACGATAAGCTCAAATGACATGAGTCGAGGGGGTTTTCCCTATATGACAACATCATCAGGAAGTGGAAAAGAACTTGCATGAGGTCTAAAAAATGAAAGTGCTAATGATGTTAAAGCAGAACTATCTGTTCTCACAAGTTTTTTTTCTTGATATTATAAGTTGATGCATTAAAAAAATGTTTTGCATCGCTTTTCTGTGACTTTATGTGCACATTTTTTCATTTTTTCATCATATGAGTTCATTTCCTCTCCTGACAGGACATAATACCTGTTATAACAGGTAACGAGAGATTATGGCACAGTCATAAGATAAATGTTCAGTGACAAAATCTTTGTTCTAAGGCAAGTACAGCTAGTTTTGTAAAATGCCCCCCACCCCAGTCCAAAAGGTCCAATATTAACAATCATGACTGAAAAACAACGATGAGTTGTGTCGCTCCTGTGATAACATCATGTAAGGAGTTAGAATTAGAATTTTGGGCTTTTTGAATAAGTAAAAAGCTAGATCGGTCAAATGATGGACGGGCAGCAAGAATCTACCAGTGCTGTGATTTTACAGGAGTGAATAAGTGTAGGTTCTGACTATAAAGCAAGTGCCTAAGCTTTTATTTGTATTTATCTTTTACAAATTCCTTCTCTCCCCCTGAGACCCAAAAAAAGTATATAGTCAAATTATAGACAAACCAAACATTAAAATTTCATCACCAACACTACCGCAAAAATAATCTTAACTATATGCGTTTCTCAGCTTTGGCACAGGCTGCTGATAAGTGTAAATTTAGCTGGGTTCATCTTTTTTGTACTTGTACTGATATTGGCATGACTATCTGTCTGTCTGTCTGTCTGTCTACCCACCCTTTGAACCTGAGCTTTTCCCATTGAACCCTAATATGCTATAGATGCCTATGAATCAACGATATACTGTACATATGGACACAATCATGAGTTTTCTCTCCATATAAACAGTGCTAATACAAACACACACAATAAAACGTCCTCTGCAAAAGTCCAAGACATTTTGGCATTTGTCTTTTTTTTTAATGGCTTCTGGTTTTGTTTTCAAAAATTGGTAAATATACATCAGGCCTTGTGCTCTTGGTTGTAGAGTCCCATTGGCAAAGCCCTTATTCAGTATTCGCCATACTGGGATGCTTGTATACAGCCTCTTTAAGTGTAGGAACAGCACCAACGATAGAGCAAATGTTTTGTCTTTTGCTGCCCCTGTTTGCTCGGGGTTTGAGACTGACATCTGAAGTGAGTCCAACAGACCTGCTGGTGAACTGTGCAATAACCCGTTCTACCAACCTGTCCATCTCATGCCACATCTCAAATGTAGACTACACCATCAAGTCAGGGACTGCAGCGGGGCCACCAAGTTTCTGCAATGGCCGCGGTGAATGATTGGCTGGCTTGTGTAACCGGGACAGTAACAGATTGTACCGTCAGTGCGGATTTTTGTGCGGAATGGCAAGGAAGATGCTTCCTCTGGGAAAGCTGAGAAGTTGAATGCAGAGAATGAAGAGAAGTAAAGATGGATGGATAAGTGTATTCAGATAGATGTTTCTCCTCATGGCCCGTTCTCATTGTAGTGGAGGGAGATGGGCCGCTCGCGCTGCACGGTGGGCATGTAGGGCCAGTTGTAGCTGGAGCCCGAGAGCAGCATGTCACGGAGCAGTGTCTCGATGGGTGTCTTGCCTACCAGGCGCACGAAAAACAGCTGCTCGATGACCGGAGAGGAGACGATGCGCAGGGACGGCAGGCGGAGGAGGAGGCGTCCAAATCGGTTTGGCTGGCTGGGGTACTGGTTCCTCACGTACTCCTCCAGGGCGCACTGAGACTTCTCCTGGATGCTCTCCACATGGGCGACGTCTGACAGGCCCATCGCATCTAGAAGGGAGGAAGAGAGATAAAGATTTATAGTTTATCAGTTGATCAAACAAAATCCTCTTTATGTTGTCTGAACGAACCCTTCAACAAAGTAAACGGAATCGCAAAAATATGAGCACCAACCAGTTTCTTCATAAAAAGTGGAGATGCCAGTGATGGGAAGGAGACTGAATCCTACTGGGACCAGAGTGCACAACACGTCTTTTGAGAACGTTTCTATGTCAAATTAGTTGATCATGGTGCTTTAAATTCCTGCCTGACCAAGAGGCTTGTCGGATTACACAAACCCTAACTAATCGTAGTTTGTGGTCTTTCACGATCTCTATGACTGTGCAAAAGTGATCAGTCACAGGAGGCCGGACACACAGATTTGCAGAATGGGGAATGTCAACAACCAAGGGATACTGAGCGTATAATAGTGGAGGTTGTCAAACTTGGCAAGAGAGGGCAAAAAGTCGGCCTTGTCAAGCCTCCTAGGCACAGGATGAGTTAACGTATACCCTTTTTACACCACATTTTACACTGCCAGCCGAGTTTAGCTGAGAGGAAACACACAAGTGAAGGGACCAATGACACCACATGCAGTTACAGAGCACACACACACACACACACACACACACACACGCAGGGGAGAAAGAGTGAGCTGCTAGCCGCCGTGCGGACTGGTTAAAATGGATCCATAGCATCTCATCCCGGGGTTGGTGCTCCTTCAGAGCCTCCGTGTGGGACGGGTTTAGATCAGTGATTGTGTGTTTTTTGTGCAGTGTAGCTGCAGTGTAGCTGCTGTAACAGCTCTGTGCTGGGCAGGTGTCCATTTACAGTGTTTGTGCTCTGAAAGACGTCACAGCTCAGAGAAGGGGAGAAAATTAGCATGTTCACCCGGGTGTTGTGTTTACATCAATGCCAATCGGAGCCGATTAATACCCGTGTCTACTGCAGTCATTTGACTGGGGTGTGAATGTTGATTATTCTCTTTTCCATTGCAAACAAAAGCCTGATGTTAGCGAGTCTTAGCAGGTTTTTTGAGCAGTGGAAAAGGGGCTATACTGCGTAGGACAAAAGATAAAATGTCCTGTTGGGATGTTCAATAACTGAGGCTTGGATTTTTTAAGAGATTCAGTCCAATACAAGATATTCTGCTCTTTAAATGTGGGTGGCTCAATGTAAAGTCTTGAGCTGATGTCCTGTACATTAAATCTAATGAAGGTGACTGAGAGAGATGGATGGGATGGATGACACACAGAGGGCTAATAAAATGTAATGAAGAGCCGACTGTTTTTTTTTTCTCCTCACAAATTCCTCAAGTCAGAGAAATCTCGCTTAGACTTGAGGAAATGGAGGTTGTCACTGCAGAGATACGTATCCACTACACCCCTGTGGTCTGTGTTCACGGCACACTACAGCCTTCCCTCTTTCCCTCAGCTGGAGGTCATGTTCTGCCTTCCACCTCCTCACACCTCCCCTCCCGCCGGCCCCCGCCTTGGCAAGAGTCTCGCACAAACGAGAGAGTGTGTAACACTGTGCGCGATACTTTTCACACCCTCTGTGTGCAGGAGGAGTGCACAGGGGATTTAGCAAAGGAGGTCAGAGATGTGTGAACTCAAAACAAAGACACATTTTACTGTACTCTGCCACATACTGTACATTCAGTGGAAGTGCTCTTTGACTCTGCCCCCTGAGTGAACCCTCATTTGGAAGACAGGTTTTTCGATGAGGGCAATTTCTTCTCAAGCTCGTTCTCTTAGTCTAAAAGCGCTGGCCCGTAAGTTTTAGCCTGTCATCTTGCATCGTAGGTCCCCTTTGTCATCTCGCACTTTGATCTGTCCCTTGCGTAAACCCTGCCATGCTGGGTTCCCGACAACAAAAAAATTTAATTTACCTCATATTTTAATCGAGCGTGTCAACCCCTCCCCACCCCAGCGGCCACTATTCTCATCATTCTGGGTGAATAATTGCCCCCGCTTCGGCTGTATTCCCCTCCGCTCGGTGAGCAGCTCGGACTGTTTTTTTGTCCCGCCGCCATTTTTGGTCCTGCGTGACAAGGCGGTCACTGCCTGGTTAGGATTAGCAAAGCTGTCCGTGCGACTGAAACCACTTCGCGTGCCGAAGCGACAGCTCTCTGGGTGCCCTTCCACGCCAAGTGCCGTGTTCTTTTGTCTGATCCTTGGGCACACACCGGGTCAGTGGGGGTGAGGGATCAGGGTGGCAGGACTGAGATGCCCATTCTCTGATGTGGCTTGATGGGACTGGGCTTCACAGGGGGAGTGGAGGGAGGGGACTCAGAGGGAGGTGAGAGACGATTGGTGATTGTCTGAGCTTGTTAGCTCATCCCACCAGGTCAGCAGGAGTCAGGTTTATTAACGGGTCTGTCTTATTGTATGCGTGTGTGTGTGTGCGCATGTCTGCCTCCGTTACATTCAAATTTCTGTTAATATCTGCACGTTTCACTAAGTGCATTGTCTTCTGGAGTCTCTTGGCAAGACATGCGGTTTCTTTTTTTGTTGCAACGAGTCTACATATGGGTACATCTGCCCGCATACAGGGAAGTCACATGGGATGCTCAGGGCTACAGGGGTTATGTAGGTCATGGTCGAGGCTGTGGCGAATCCTCTGTCTCACTGAAACCCACCATACATAATTCAGCTCCCATGGTGGGGGCGTAGGGCCCGGGGCTTGGGCTGGGCTTGGGGCTGGGTTTGGGGAGCTTAGAGAGGAGGGGTGGATGACTGGTTTCAATAATAGATGGGATCATGAAGGAGAGATGGCTGATGAAAGCAGGGAAGAGAAAGGAGAGGTGGATCCGCAGCCACCCACATGCATTGGAGGAGAGATGCTAGGTATACGCAGAGTGAATCTGACAAGCCATGCAAGGGAGAAAAGAGGGAAAATACAATAAAAAAACACGGACAAGAGACATCTCTGTGTTGGCTTCTTCACCATCCGATTCCCCCTGGGTCACAAAGCATGATCTCTCAGTGAAGTATCACAGATGTGACAGTATTTTGGCTGGCACTGGAGCCCAGTGACTGTTGGGATAAACCTCAACAGGGTTTGTGTATAAGCAGTATCACAACAATGCCTATCTCATGGGTTTCCTTAAACCATTATGTTTTGATTTAATCTTGTCTGTAGCTCAGTGGGGACAACATAATGCAACACGGTGAGGGTGTCAGGCTCAAGTGCCCCGTGTTTTTTTAAACAGCTTTGGATACAAATGACATGGCTTTGCTAGCATAACAGCATTTCTTTGTCATACGTCCTACTAGCTGTAATATACCGAGACAAGACAATGAGTTAATAAAGGTAAAAAAATATAAGATTACAAGATAAATATCATAAGGAGGAAATTTTAGCAGATCGTGGCTGCTGTCCTCCTTTTGATTGAGTATAATAAAGATAATGGCTCATGTGTGTATCTATTAAAAGAATGCATGTCTCTATCTAAACTAGTTTCCATGTGTAATGTAAATATAAATGTAAATGTAAAATACTTGTCCGTAAGTCTTTCCCACCAAACTTTGTAAAATATTAACCACAGAAACTCAGTAAAATACAGGGCAATCAAAGATAAAAGTAAAAGGTAAACACTCCAGGTAAAAGCTTACTGTTAAATGAGGCACAAGCAGCTACTCACAGGGTCAATAGCTGCCTTTTACAATATGAGAGAGCGATCAAATTACAGTCAAATTCATGGAGGGCAGAGACCATGACTGAGTAGCGGGAGGACTGTAGCAGCAGCATTTACATATGGAGCCAATGAGACAATATCTGCTGCAGCATTAGAGGTCACATCTCGGTCAGGCTCAGTGGAGGTGAGGAGGTTGTGGGTTAAGAACAGTTGAAGTGTGTGTGTGTGTGTGTGTGTGTGTGTGTGAGCTCAAACTGAATTTCAACACAGCAGAGAGAAGAAATTATTCTTGGGGCTAAAGGCATTAGAGTAACTTCTTTTTCTGTGGTTAAATGATCAAGTACATTTACAGTCATGGACGGGAATTTCTCCGCCGCTCTGTTAGTCTGACAGTAGTCGAGCCTTTCAGGACAAACAAAAGGGAAAGCTCACATCAACATCCATCATCATCTGTCTGTTACATGATGGATGCTTTTTTACCCGGACAGGAATGTTCATCACGTGAATCACTGATGGAGTTTCATTTCATTCATTTTCATTTTGGCATTGAAGCTTTAATAAACAACAATCATGTGTGTGAGGGACGCTCCCCTCCTCTTGTCACAGCAGAGCCTCTAAAAAAGAGTTGAATCATGAATTTTATTAGATGCAGATTTCTGCTGCCTATTTTATAATGTCCACTATGCATAAGCATAGAATTACAAGCCACTAAGTTGCTGCATGTAAAGCATTTTGCTGGACATCCATTCAGTTGAATGTGTTTTCTGGGTCATTGAAGTGGTTTTATTTATTTATTTATTTATTTATTCATGAGCAAAGGAGACGATTATGGACTGATACATTTTTAGTGCTTTTATTAAGAGGATGCAACTTGCGCATTTTAATCTCTTTGCATTTCACTATGTGCTGCTGCTGCCTTTACGTTCATCTGATGGCATTCAGTTAAAGCTAGTGTCACATTCAAAGTGTTATGAAAATGTTTCTATGTCTGACCTAGTAAAAGTGACTGGGGTGTTAATTAAGACATGAGACTGACATGTAAAATTATATACATGTTATTAACGTAACAAGAAAGTCTCAGAAAGTGGCCTTGAAATGCAACATATTAAATAAAAGTTTGCTTGTTTGTTTGTTTGTTTGTTTTTATGAATTAGCTTTGAGCATAAATTTAAAAACAAAATGTATATTAACAGCTGACTGGATGCATGGGAGTATTTTCATGTTTGCTAGCAACAGCAACACCTTTGCCTGACAAGGCAACAGCAGCATAAGGCAATAATTTATAGTTCTTAATGTCTACACTAGTAGTATATTGTTTCTGTACAACAGAGACAATAATGCTAATAATAACAAACAAGCCAAATGACATGGATGTACATGTATTATTTATGATTCACTGGTTGTTGTTGTCCCTAGTGAAAAAGGAATGTATCTGCGTAACCTTCCTGTTGGTCATTTCTCTAATTCAGCTGAAGCTGTTTACATGTGCTTTGATAGCCTGCGACTAAGTGTCCGTGTTGACGTGAATAAACCAGTTAACAGAATGTTCCCGTGCCAGCGGAAGTCAGCTCACTGCTAATTCCTCCCTTTCCACCTGAGCAATAGTAAATTTGCTGACGTTTTTGTTGACATCAGAATCTTCCCATAATCCTCTTTGGGTCTAAGTTCGTGTAGAGGGAAAAAAACAAGTGAAAGCATTGACCTACTCTTGGTCTACTATAGGCCTAATCTACCTCCTGTTTTCTTCTCTAGTCACAGTGAGGACCTGGACCTATACTTGTGGACTATTTATGAAATCTTGTATTTCATTTATTTTATCAATTTCTTTTGGTATGTTTTCCCTGCAACATCGAATGCACCCTCAGCCCCTCAGCCATCTGGCAGGATTTTTCTTTGAATTTCCTCTCCTGAGGTTTGTCCTGTTGTTCCCTCAGAGCTCACGTTTTTCCTGTTTGTCTTGGGCTCAATTAGGAACTGTTACTCATGTGAGATTGTAGGTTATTATTATATTGTGACATTAAACTTGACATGACTTCTGTCAATCCATAAGACATTTACATGAGTACACATGAAAACGTTGCCATTGTCTCTAGACAGAGGACAATATTTTCACTTTAGTAGAGCCATGATCTGACTGCTTTGGTTTAAAAGAAGACAAATGAGGTATGAGTATCCTTACATATAATATCCGAACTTCTACTACAATGGATTTCTAATCATGTTTGAACTTTTGATTGCCCACCTACATCCACCCACAGTTACAGCCTGTTTCAAAGTCACATTACAGACCCAAAATCCCACTGAAATGTCATGCATTCCCTGTGACTCTCCTCTGTTTCCGCGTACACGTGCTTCATTCAAACTCACCGGATGTGAAGAGCACGATGGACTTGAGGCAGGAATATTCAGCCGTGTCGACCTGCAGGGCCTTCAGCTTCTCCACCTGCTCTTGGAAGACGCGGATGTGGTCCATGAAGGCCACCACACGCTCTGCTGACATAGGCGAGGCGTGCAGGCCGGCCGCTGCAAGCAGAGGGGCCACGTGAAGCGGCATGGAGCACTGGGCTGCATTGAGGACGAAGAGCTCGCTCCATGACATGCGCAGCAGTGCCACCTACAATAAAGGTAATATAGAGTTGTTATTACAGGAAGGAAATTTTACTCCTTCTCGTCTGTCGGCAGGATATCTCAAAAACATAAATTCGGATTTGGATTTGAGATTTCTATTATGAGGCAATTATTAATTTTCAATCATAAATACAAAACTAATGGAGACAATTCAAATACTAAAGGTGTGTTTACAAGGTCAAATCAATTTCACTTAAAATGTATGTAATAAGAGTTTTGTTTGAAAATGTTACAGCACACTACAGAACCGTTCAGCACTGGCAGAGGTTTGCACTCTTCAAGTGCACCTTGCATTAACAGGAGCCAAACTCCAATTAGATAGCAACACAAGATGCACTTAACATCCAATAATACAAACCACCTTTGGCGATAGTCAGTATTTGGTCACCGTATCAAGGAAGACGAGTCAAACAAGTGAATATTTTACAGCTAAACTGGGTTATGATGAGTTTAATGCCAATCAGCATTGTTTGTGTTCAGTAAGAAAAGTTACACAGTCAGCACTTTGATACATGGAATGAGTTTTAAAAGCAGAGAAAGAAGCTTCAAAGTCTTTACAATTACATATTACAAATCACAGGTAAAAAAGAAAAAGGAAAAGCAAAATGATTTAATGTGCCAAGCAGCTCAACTGTTCCAAATCATGACTTTTATATGAGGAACAGCAGTCACAAGTTGAAACAGGAACATGGATATATATACACAGGGTGTTGACATGTACTGCAATTTGGCATGCAACCTTATGTGACCCACCTTTGTAGCAACATTTCTAATGACGGTTAGCTAAGTATTCCTTTTTGAAGCATTCACATTACTTTGTTTGCCCCGGGTAATCTCGCTACATACTGTACGATTTTACACACAGTCAAGTTACAAGACACTTGAAAACAAAAGTGTTTTTTTTTTTTCTTTTTTTTTAGAAATCATAGAACCACTGGTACAATACTGAAGCAGAGAGAGGACAGATATATTCAGCATGTCCATGTGAGATTAATGATATAGTAATGATATGGTGCAACTATAGCGTGACATATTTGTGATGACTATGTCCGCCCAAGGTGCATGTGAATATTTATAGGTCAGGCAGTTACTCTGTGCCAAGACCATACAGCTGGTGTAAATCTGCATGTGCAGGATTGATGTCATGTCTGTCCATATTGAATGTCACAAGTGTCTGTTTCTGCCTTCAGTGAATAATAACAGAGCTGATTTCCTTTTATATGCCACTGAGTGACAGTCAACAAAAGACTTCATTTGTTTATAGGTTTATCTTCTTTTTGTAAAGTGTGAGCGGGGCTCAGAAAGATGTGTTTTTTCATTGGGATGCAAATTTCTTTTGGTTTTGATTCATCAGAAAAGTGGAATCTAACTCCTTTTTTGGCTTTAAGTCATGCTTCATTAAAGGAAGAGTTCAACATTTTAGGAAATATGAAGATTGATACCACTCTCATATCTGTATGGTATATAATATGACGCCAAAACCAGCAACCATTTAGCTTAGCTTAGCTTAGCATAAAGACTGGAAACGAAGGGAAACAGCTAGCCTGGTTCTGTTTCCGATAATAGCCAGGTGCAGTGTGTTCCTGGAGTCTTGTCACTATGAGGTTTTCCCTCACATAAACTCCTCCTGTCTGCTGTGGATTGGATCATTTTGGACAGAGCCAGGTTAGCTGTTTCCCCTGTCTTTATGCTCAGCTAAAAAGCTGCTAGCTGTAGCTTCATGAGCTTGCTTCAATCTTCTCATCTAACTCTCAGCAAGAAAGAAAACAAGTCTATTTCTCAATATGTCAGATTATTCCTTTAAGGTTGGCGTTTACAAGAAAATATTCAACCAGCAGTCAGGCACCAAAGTAGTCGACTCACCTGATCCATGAGCTGCAGGTCAGGGAAGAAGGGGATGTTCTTGGCCCATTCTACAGCACTGAACAGCAGCCTGGCCGCCAGTTCACAGATGTTCTCGATGCCCATCAGATTATTTCCCTGCATGCACTGGGCCCCGTAGCGAGATGTTGGGTAGGGCTCTGCACGCAGCAGCAGAGAGATGAAGCCGGATAGGTAGGGTTGGCCGTTGTATGGGTCGGTGCCATTGGTCAGGTACTGTCCCGGGCTGCTCTGGGAGTTTGATGTGCGCCCTCTTTGTACAGCTGAAGACAAGACAAAAGGAAATTAGAGTTCAGATGCGTAAATCTGGACTTTTAATTCATGATAATGTGAACTTGTTTCTGTCTTTTCTTTCTTTGCATAAGTCTTCATTTCAGTCTGGCCCACAACTTTGAACAGAAAGTGAATATCTGCCATGAGGATCTTATTACACTTTTATGATTTAGGGGGCCTGCTGTAACAGTATGTGATACACCTAAACCTGGTTTACATCCAAATGGCTCTTATACAGCCTGCATGGAAAGTGAAGTGAAACTTAAAAGCCTGCAGGAGAAACGGAGGGGAGGGGAGACGAAGACAGAAAAGAAAGAAGCAAATTGGGCGTGTCAAATGTGTTGGCTGGGTGGGTGGGGGTGGGGGGTGGCGTGGGGGCTGAAGAATGGGGTCGAAGGGGCGAAAAGTGTAGAAACGGGAACATTTCTCTGACTCCTAAATATGTCGGCGCTCGTCTTTTCAGTGAAGCGGTGGAAAGTGGCCAAGCCGAGGCCATTCTGCACTGCTGCTGTGCATCAGTGAGTAATGACGAGCAGCAGCTGGTAAAGATATAACACTTCTTCACACCTACATATGTTATGCACCCGCATATGTATACACACATACACACACCACACATGAATACGTACGGTCACACCCCCCCACTCCCCACCTCCCTCCCTCTACTGGCAAATGGCTCAGCCTGAGGCAAAAGGAGCATGCAGAGGCCAAGCTCTTGTACATACACACACACACACACACACACACACACACACACACACACACACACACACACACAAATGCCCAAACCCCCCCGTGTGGAGCGATGATGATGCGGCGAGTGCTCAAAGGCCCATTTGGAAAACACCTGTTCAGTCATCCCCACTGTCTGACTAATAACTCCATCTACTGTTACACAGAGCGGGTGAGAAAGTGGAGAGAGAGGGAATGAAAATGCGGGGGGGCGGGGGGGCGGGGGGGGGGGGGCCATGGGGGGGAAAAAAAATGGGGAA